TAGGGATTGATGTCTATCTGAAGAATTGGGAATCGAAGTGAAGATTAAGGGATGCGGCTGAGGGTATATGCGGGGTGTGTTAGTGGGTTTATTATGATAACCCAATTTTAATTACTGTTGGGCTTATAAGTTGGGTTGGAGTCTGTTAGAACAGTATTAGGAGAGAAGTTGGAATGGTGAGTCAGCAGGGGGCGGTTATTTTGTTAGAGATGTTGTTTTGACAGCTGGTAATGTATATATATAATTTGTACCGATTCTTTAAAGGATTATCTTATGAATGAAAGCCATTTTCTGTACCTAAATCTATCTATTTCTGAAATCCCTAAATTTCTTCTATATTCTCATCCTAAATCATAACACTGTACTCCTGAATTATCTTCAATTGCTCTATCAATATCCTGTAAATTAGATGATATATTCCTTCCTAAAAAACAAAATCATTCAGGACATCTGCCATTCTTGGTTGCGCTTTGAGAGGGAATTTGGAACACTAGAAGATCTCGATCATGCTGATAAAAAGGTACTAATTTACTATTTTTCCCAGTTCTGCTGTTTACGTTCTTTTGCTTCAGATAGTTAATAACGCCATTCCTTTTATGATTGTGAAACTCTGCTTCCTTGTATATGGGTTGAAATCAAGTCAATAAATACATATGACACGGTAGGAAAAATAGATTCTGGAACATGTCAGGTATTTTGTATTTTGGCTAACAACCTTTGTTATTTTACATCACGGCTGTTTTGAAAAGAATAGGTAGTTTACTCAACAAAGAAGCAAATATTGTGTTACTTTTTTTTTGATAAGAAAATATTGTGTTACTTCATCTTCTAAAAAACTAAAAGGATGCTTTTGGTTGAGTAAAAGTGGAACTCCTGAATCAACTGCTGTCACAATCAATTGCCCTAATACTGCTTTACTGATCATCATGTCTACTACCATTTATAGTCTTGTTTACTTTCTAAAGCTGTTATCCTGATTATCCATGGATACTATTTTTTTATTGCAATCACTATTCTTTGACTAGGTGGGTGATTTATCATCAGGTGTGAAAAGAATGATAGATCCGGTTAATTTTGTTATGCTATCATTAGTAATTAAATGTTGCAAAACATGGTTATATTATCAATGAAATTTTCTACTATTTAGTCTTGAACAACAGTATTTTATTTACATTATTGTGTTTCAGGGGGATGTTTAACAAAGATACACTATGCCTTTTAAATATTTTTCATTGGCTTTAATGATTGAGAAGTTATTAGACCTATATGTTTTCAGTACTTTTTCCTCCTTTTAATTTGATGTCATAAGTTAGTAATGTTTACTTGATATACCCCGGTCCCGGTTTTGTCAGTTTGTGAGTTATGCTCTTGAAGCTTCATGATTAGTTAATCCAAATCTATGCAAGTATTAAAGTACTCTTTCTGCTGCCTTTATGAAACTACCTATCTTGCATCTAAATAAGGCATTTTAGTGCATTTTAACATCCTTTGGTAGTGCCGATTGTATATCTTCACAATATTTTATTGAAAAGAAAAAGTGTAATCTGGTTGATGAATAGCCCTGCCTGCGTTTATCAAAGTTAGAATTACTCTTGTTTTCCATTCCATTTCTCAGGTTACTCCTCGTCTTGAGGAGCTACAATTGTTTAGGTTACAGCAGGAATCTAAATGTTTCACTAGAGCAACAGATCATAGAGAGCTGACCCTTAAGAACACAGCTCGTGAGAAGAGGAAATCAGGTTCAAGTGCAATTGATGATCAGTCTCCAGCAAAGCAGCAAAAATATAATTCTCAAAATAAGAAATTGCACGAGAAAGAGAACACTCAAGGGCTGAACTTAGCAGAAGTGAAGGATGGGGAAGAGAAAAAAGGCAAGGCTGAGGAACAAGTAAATGAGAAGCAGATGAAAAACACTAATCCTACTAAATCCAGGGTATATACAGATCAGTGCACTGCATTTGTATCAAATATGAGCATTACGGTAAGTGGAACACTTTATGCTGCTCTTCATCTGCTTTTTCTTCTTTCAGATTAACGTATAGATTTTCCTTTTCCTCGTATTGTTTTCCATCAGATGATGACAAGTTTATATTTTTTGGATAGCAGGCGAAAGATGAAGATCTACGTCAATTCTTTAGTGATGTTGGTGGGGTCTCTGCAATTCGAATTCTGCTTGACAAGTTCACTGGCAAATCAAGGGTCTCTCTCTCTCTCTCTCTCTCTCTCTAACCCTGACTGTGTGTACTTGCGCACACATGCAGGTGCTTTGTCATTTTTGTTTTGTTTTTACTGAACATGCTACAATAGAAATGGGAAACTGGCCGCATAAGTACTTTTAGAAGTCATTCTGGCATTCAGGCTGGAATTCTATATCGTGAGCTTTCTTTAGTATAGATTGTATTGGACAGTTATATGAGCAATTTTTAATGTCTCCTTTGGTAGATTAGTCCATGGCACACTCGGTTTATGGTGACATGAAATATGTTTAGATAAATGTTGAAAGAAGAAAAATATGCAACAGGTACATCCACATTTGTATGTAAAATTGCTGAACTAAAAATTTAGTGGTTAGTGTTTAGAGCTCGAGTTAATGGAAATAACAAAAAGCCCCCAGGTCTGGTTCCTATTTCCTAATTTGGGTCAAATTCAAATAAGGAATGAATTTGAAGCTATCTATCAGTAATGATGTTTTAGGCCTTTATTGAATTTTGAAGGGACTGGCATATGTGGATTTTGAGGATGAAGAACACCTTGCTGCAGCTGTAGCGAAGAACAAGCAAATGTTGCTTGGAAAGAAATTGAGTATTGCACGGTCAAATCCAAAGCAACGCAAGAGAGAATCTTTTTCTCGTACTGCACCTGGTGGTAAGCTAAGGGTTATGAATTTTATTCTTTCCGGCTGTCCTTGGACCACTTTCTTCTCCATATATTTCTTTTACAGTTACAACCATGCACTGGTGCATTTACCTCTCAAGTTTTTTGATACTGATGCCTAATTTTTTAGGATGTATATTACAAACCTTGTCACTGTGCACTGTGTTGTATGCACAAACATTTATATTTGAAATTTAGAGTCCTGAAGAGTTGTCTGCTAGTTAAACATTGAAAATAAAATTTCTAGTAGGAAAGATGCACTGAGAGGAAGAGGAAGAAGGGTTGAAAGTGAAACATGTTATTACACGTCTTAGTCATGTTGAGCTGATTCAGATTGCAACTCTTTTCTTTTGAATCTTAGTATTAATATGGGGAGGGATTGTCTTATACCTTCCTTTTCTCTTGTTTCCCTTTTTGTGTTGACAATAGAGGGGACTGAGATGTGCTTAATATTCTATAGAAACAAAAAAGAAACAAGTCCTTGAATAATTGTAAAAACTCCCTCCATATTTGAAAGATAGGGGATTTTTTTCTCCTTGACAGAGAAGCTACTGCTAGGTTGACTACAAATGAGACAGAGTTGCACTATTGAGTTTCTAGGACTAGGCTTGGTGAAACCATTAGCACACTAATATGTGTGTGTGTGGTTGTGTCGGAGACATGTTCAGACATGAGGGGGTATGGTTCTCTAAATATATGAAAAAAACTTGGAAAAACTCGAGTACAACCCGTGTCTGGATAACATAGCTCACGCTTTGCTTTTGTTTTCATTCTAGTTTTACAATTATACAAGTTTGCTTGGTTAGATTCTAATGTGTTCAAACTGAAATTGCAGACGATGCTAGCAGCCAAGGTGGAAGGCATGGGAGTTCTGTATCTAAAGAATCTGGTGAAAACTCGCAGGGATCTAGAGCATCTCGTGTACCACAATCCACTGGTCGTAAGCTTGACGATAACTTCGAACTCAAGGGGAAGAACACATTTGCGGTGCCAAGAAATGTTAAAGCACTTGGATGGACTGCTAACAAATCAGGAACCAGGACAGAGGAAGATGAGAAGCCAAAATCAAATGATGAGTTCAGAAAAATGTTCATGAAAAGCTGAGGTTCATTCTCCAGTTTCTGTTTAAGGTCATGCTTAGAATGTTATCCTTGTACAAATTTTAGTAGTAAATTACCAATTTTTGCGATAAATTATTTGTGGCCTTTATGAACCTATGTATGGTGATATGTCTGGTCAAGGCTGCTAGACCTTCTCAATGGCGTATAAATTGATAGGATTACATTTGGTTCTCAATGTCTTATGGCGCAGCCTATCCTTGGTAATGGTTGTATATGATTTGTCTTTATTGTTAACACCATTTTGTAAGTCTGTGTACTGCGTCGGAGAAAAACATTTTTGCAGCAAAGTTTGGGGAATTTGCGCCAGATATCCAACTTTCTGGAGGAACTGAAGTGGCGTTGCTTTGCAATCATCTTTCTGTTTTGTGTAACTAAAAATTAAATCCCGTGGTCTTAAAAGAAATTAAAGTCTAATATTGTAATTAAAATTCATCCCTTTTTACCCATAATCTCCAATTTCGCTCCCCGTATCTTTAAATGGTAAATATAATATAAGCTATTGATTTTTTTATGAAATAAATTTTATGCGGTTTTATTGAGGTAAACACGTACAAAAAGCCGTTAAAAATCGTTTTACACCTAAATGGAGTAAAAAGAGTACACCATAACTATTGGCTTTAAAAAATCGTCTTATACCTAAATAGATGAAAAAGAGTACATCATAACTACGGGAACATCCGATACATGTCCTTCCAATAAAAATACAAAGTCGACATAACGAAGACCAACTGTAAACATTACTGAATAGAGCACAAAATACCAACCAGCTATTGATTTCTTTAATCCATAAAAATAAATAAATAAAAGCAGTATAGGAACGGAAGGTACTAGAAATATTAAGATTTGAATATCAGATAGTTTGGATGTGAGGGTGAATCCCGGGAGATGCAAATTTATTAAAGGCAAAATCATATTTACAAGTGGAGCTGGACAGGGACGCGGTACAAGAACAAAGCAGTGACATTGTTACAAGCTCCATCACAATAAACGAACCTATGTTACCAACTACCGTGTTTCACTGATCAAATACAGCTTTTGTCCATCATTAATCAAGTCTGCATCAAGAATTTTACCTCCATCTTCAGACAATATACAAGAAGCACCTGCAACGTCTAGCTGCTCGGCAGCGGTTGTAATAAGCGCTTCCACCGTTCGAGGGATCCATAACACAATGCCAGGTCTCCTCCGTTCTTGGGCATCCCAAGGGTGGAAAGGAAAAACCGTGCACTTCTTCGGGTGTATTTCATCTGGTATTACCGACAAATTCTATCATTAGTGCACAAACGGAGATTACTTGCCACTGAAGAAACTAATGGGTAAATGTAGATGCAACAATAAAAGCAAAGGTGTGATCAGTAAATGACATTGGTCGTGTGAATTGTGAAATGCAAATAGAATGTGGTCTCACAGGTCCAGCAATACCTGTGATTTCTTTCGAACAATAAGGGAATTCTGATAACTGAGTAGATTTTGCATCTTCCAGTAGCTCGATCAAATTCTTGTTGCCACACATTCGGCCTTCATCAAGTGGAGTGTTTCCCCATCTGCACATGAAGGCATAATTGTTGAAAAAACTCGTCATACTGAAGTAATGCAAATGTCTGACATAAGAAGAAGAAAAATAAGAATCGGAGTTATGAAGTTAAGAGCACAACATTTCAGTAAACCTATTAAAGAAAATGCAGCAGAAATACCAGAAAAGAGACAACTAACTGAAATAAGGCAATCAGAAACATATACTGGTGATTAGTATCCTAGAAAATTATGCACACAATGGGAATTTCGCATGTGATATGCCTGATTCTGAAGTATTCATATGCAAATATTGTAAGCAACTATATTGTGATATTTTAACTGCTGATCCAAATCCAGTTACAAACTAGACAGCATAGCTAGAAGCAAATAACCTTATGATCGCGTTCATAAAACTAAGTGAAATCAATGTCCCAAATGTACCTGTCTTCGGTAAAAACACTATCCCCAGACTCTATCAAAAGCTTTGCCATCAAATATAAGCCCTCAGAAGCAGCTACATGAAGTGGGGTTCGATGGTCATAATCTCTGGAGTTAGGATCAACTCCGTTAGACAAAAGCCTTTTCAAAATGTCTGAATCCCCTTTCGAAACTGCTGTGCACAGAAAACTACCAGCATCATCTATGTTTAAGGAAGCTCCTTCTTTAACTAGCAAAGCAGCAACGATGTCTTGTTCATTTTTTATGGCTTCAAGCAAGGGTGTATTCCCAAACTTATCTATACAAAAATAAATTATTATCACAACAGTAGGTCAAATGATAAAGATTACAGTTTTAATTAACTAAAGTAACATTTTAAAATGTTTATAAAAGATAATTACCTTTAATAATGATATCTACTGAATGCTGAATAAGGAAAGTTGCAATATCTCATATCCTTTCAATGCAGCAAGATGCTATTCAAAATAAACATTTGGTTTCAGATAAGAGCTTTCTTTCTCCCAATCGTCATTTATAATGTGTAGCTAAAGAGCAGTAAAATTTATGGAATTGATTTGAACCCCAATTGTAACCGAGAGTTCTGAGGATTTTATGGCATGTCAGAATGACAAACCTTCTTAAGGACGATAAGAAGCGCAGTACACGGAGAAAAGTCAGTGGACGTGAATATTTATGACCGAGGGAACTCATTTTAGCTATTTCCAAAAGAAGTAATAAATTTTGAGTTTTAAATTGCAATGAAACGTGCTTTTCTGATGCTTTTATGATTTTACCAAGTTTTTCATCTGTTTTGATCTTCATTACTCGTGCAAGTATATGATTTCCTTTAGAATTAAAGAATGATATAAAAGAAAACAAAAAATTAGTTAAAAATATATAAAATCATTAATAAAAAATTTAAAATTTAACTCAATTTGCATGTCAGTATACGTCAGTATTGTTGAGGGCCTCCATAAGAGTTTCCTGTGGTTTTATCCCGCTCAGGCATAGTTCACCATCTTTCAGGTCCCGAAAGACATGCTCTCACTAGAACCCTTCTTAGAAGATCAAGGTTGGTCGACGGTGCACCCGTGAAAGATTCCGCCAATCAACTTTCTTGCTCCTTACGAGTTTTCTACCCATTGACTCGCACACATGTCAGACTCATTGGTCTCTCGTTCGGCGTGCTTCGATATTAATGGGCTCAGGACGTCGACCTGCAGGCTCCTCATTCGACCCGTCTTGAAACACGGACCAATGAGTCTGACAAGTGACCATTTTAATTATATTCATTGAAATATAATATATTTATATTTAAATTGGATATCGGTTGATCTCATGTTAAATGTTTAATATGTGATATCAAAACTATAACTTGTTTTATTTTTCTATTTAGACGTGACCATTTTTTATGTAGTTTTATCAGACCATTCTGTCTGTTGTATTTGTCGGGGGCCAAATTTTAATATACTAGCCCCATTCTTGGGGACCGTCCTTCGGAATGACGCTGGTTAAACCAAAAAGGTTGAATAAGTTCTTCAGTGGCAACCTGAATGACTGGATTAGAATTAACCTAAAATATTCAAGCTACTTCAGAAAGGATGAAACTTGCTCTTTGGCTCCATTATTTGGTGTTTACGCGGTATAGTCCTCCACACAACCTTTTCTCAAGTAAAGGTGAAGTGCTGTTGTGGCAACGGTCATAAAATTTGAAACTCTTGTAAAAAGGAAATCTAAAATCCGCTTCTTGAAGCGCATTTTTCTTATGAATAAACGACGCGTTAAAAGCAGTGTAATTATTTCAGCATTGGCAAACTCTGTTCTGGAAATGAAAACCGTGAAATGTTTAAAGCTGTGAGGAAACTCGAATTCTGGTCGAAAAAGAGGAAGTCCATTGCCCCTCGGCCTTCATCTTCATTCGCTCCCTCCTATTGCCATAGCTGTTACTCTAGCGCCTCAGTGCATTCCTTCCATTATTATCAAAGCAGCTACTTGAGCTCCTCAATGCAGCCTTCGGCGCCACCGTTACCACCATGGCTCCAGGATGAGTTTCCAACGCCAGAGAAGGTTGAGCCATTCCCTGAATTTTCGTCTCCAGCACAACACCCCACACAAGATATTGAATCAGACCTCATGTTCACTCCAGCATCTCCATCCTGCCAGCAATACATGGATCCAAATCCCGTCTATGGCTTGCCTCTAGTGCAGCAGAAGGTAGAAGAGAGATATCAGGTGGGTTTTAATGGATGTGTGACTGATTTTAGCCTCCATCTATTCCGATGTCTCTGTCCATGTTTCCACATCAGAGAAGTTCACGAGAGAATTATGAAGCCCTCAAATGTCTTATTATCACAGTAAAGGGTCTTCCTATTAATAGTAGTACCAATAAGTGTTTGTTATCAAAGTCGTGATTCTCTTCTTCTTCTTTTCTTTTTTCTGTAGCGGAGAATCAGATGTCATTCATGATCCTAGCCATGCCGCTTCATGTGAATAACAAACTTATCCAGGGTTAAAATGAACTTTAAAACAAACTAAGAATATATGGAAAGTGAAAACAGGGAGAGGGAAATATGAGAGTTCAACAGAAGACGAAGAGCATAGAAGCACGTTGGTGACAAAAATGTGCATAGAAGACGTTATTGCTTGTCACTCCTGTTTTACTCATTTTGGTTCAACTATGTTATCCGATGCGGCACTTTTACTCAACACTCTTACAACTTCTATAGGTTTTTCCAAGAAAAACATTTCAAAATATTCTCCAAAATATATTTTTATTGATTTAATCCTTTAAAATGAAAAAGAAAAACATGCTGCTCCTACAGTCCGAAGCATAACAACTTCATAGAGGCCAACCAAATTTCAGATAAAAATAAAAAATCTGGAATAAATATGGTTGCTAGACTAAAGCACATCGCCAATTTCAAAACCTTCCCCGGAAAATGTATTAGTTCGCCCTGAAAAATGGAGACAGAAAAGGGGGGGGGGGAAGTTAAAAGCCAGAAGCAAGCAGATAAAACATTCCCGACATACAAAATGTTCCACCCTTAAATGAAAATAGCAAAATGTTCTCTAAAAGCAACCAAATGTCCACAAAGACTCAAATGAGATACAAAGAAAGTAGGTGATGCAATTTATCATAGGAGAAAGTGTAGTGAAATGTACCTGCCAAGGTAAGAATCATCTTCAGTATTGATAATTATTTGTTCACCTGTATCAAGATAGGGTGGTACCTGAGGAAAATGACAATTCAGAACACTATAGAATTCTATAAGCACAAGGTTAAAGAAAGCTCTTCACTACATGCTCTACAACAATTAAGCAATAACATCTGTGCATATTGTCCAAGTGATGAAAGATGGAAATATCCTAGTTGAAGGATTAAGACATTAAGTTTTTAGGACCTTTTTATACATATTTTATAGATTAGATTTAAATCTTTGCATACATCTAAGCTATTTTAGATCAGTAAGGTTATTTTGTAGGATCTTACTTCTTTTTCAAGTCTTAGAGTTTTGGGGTTATAATTGGTATTTTCAATTTTACTAAGGTTTGTGCCGAGTTATTATTAGTCTTGCACTAAATGTTGTTTTGATATGACAAAAACTCCAATGCTATGTTTTACCCTCCTTTAACTATTTGAGTATTCAATACCGACATGAGACCATGAGAAAATCATGCATATTGGCTAACAAAAAAGGAGAAATATTGGAATATTTTGTAGTATAAATTAGATTACTTTTTAGAGTTTATTTTATAATCATACATCTTAAGCTTATTTTATATTGTGTCTCCCTTTACTTAGGTGAGCACTTTTTTGGCACCTTGGATTAGTGCCTAAAGTCGTCCGACGCCCTAGACAGCACTAATGAAGACAATGGTGTGGTACAAAAGAAATTATAACTTTTTTCTTTTTCATCTTCAGGACAATGTTGGGGGTACGTGTACAGAGATCGGTTAAGCATTGTTTCAAATGTAATTTCGTGATATTCAGGTTCGGAAACACTCCTTGAGATTCTAATTTGGGTTTTTTGAGCTATGAATAGCTCATCTTGGAAATTGCTTGATGGAGGTTGTTAACTTTATTGGTTTAATGAAGTTAGGCTTAGTAATCTTTGACGAGGATTGTCAAGGTAAAGGATGTAGGTTTAGGAGGGCTGGACCACTCTAAATTGCTAGCGCAGTCAACTTCTCTCAACCAATTCATATTTGGTCATTTGGTGAACTCTTCCATTTGGTTTAAGGATCAAAGTATAATGGTTTTTAAGTGCCGTTCATCCTCCTCTTGCAATGCCCACCAAGGACCAACAACAATATGCTATTGGTGTTTTGTCCTTTAAGCTTCACCAATACAGAATTAAAACCCTCAACTCCCACTTCACTACAGTTCTACTATACTGAATATATAGCAATCTACATGCACAGCGAAGTGAAATGCCTAGAAGTAATTTTTTTTAACAGATTTAACTACACAGAAAAGAACTGCATGTTTGACTTACTTGAACAGTAAGGCCATTGTCCAGCAAAGCTTTTTTGAACCTGCACCATTGAGAAGTATAAAGACAAAATCTTGAAGTCCAAAAGTCTACAAGAGGTCTAGGAAGTGGCATTCTTTGACAGAGATTATTGCCATTTTAACAAAACTTACTATGATGTCAAAATGCAGTGACATTACATTTTGAATTATCAGAAGCAATCATTTACTAATTTTTCAATGAAGTAAACCAAGGGGAAAAACAAATACAAAAAGAAAAGGATAAGTAACAATATTATCATACTCAACCACAAATTCTATGAACAAGTCTAAGGTTGCAACTTTCAAATGCAAATACCGTTTGGGTTGAGAAAAAAAAATCAAACTATAAATGCCTTTGAGAGCAAGAGAGAGGTTGTTAGAGCTGTTGTTGAAAATAATTTTATTTGCATCAATCTACTGTGACAACTGCTATCTCTTCATATCAATAGGTAGAGAGTGTATGCGTTGCAATAAAGGGACACTTGGTTGGATGCTAAAATCTTTTAGGTGCATGACTTTGAAGCTTTTAAAGTCCCCTGCTCAAAAGCAAATTCATTCAAAATCATTCCAAAAATTGTGGTTGTTTTAGTCTATATGGTTGTAGGTGTTGCTTTTAATTTGTATTATGTTCTGTTGCGCTGTTTTATTCCTACTGCTGGTGGTGTAATTAGATGTAAGGTGATTAGACTGTGGCTTTGGATGAGGTTATATGAGGTTAAGGTGTATACTGTAATGGTGTACATCACCATGAGAGGATATTCCGTGGTGTCTTTTGTATCGGGTATTTTATCAATAAAATTTGAGGTACTCTTTTCTTCCTTCCAATGTTCGTTAACATACCTTTAGTATGTGAACGAATACGAAGGGAGTTTTTAATGAGACCTCCAACTTCTATAAAAAAAAATCATTCCAAAAACTATGAATTTGGTTTTTGTCATAATCCAACTAATAGAATAGTCATAAATGTATTAAGTTGAAGGAAAAGAAAAGCTCATAACATGCAAGTAAAAGAAAATTCCACTGGTCCTTTATAATACTTGTGAACAAGATAAACCATGTAGGTATAGCTAGCATTAGTGTTTGAATATCTAGAGTGATCTTTTCAGCAGCATCCAGCATGTCAAATAGATTATTTCTATAATAACCGAAGCAAGTTCATGCAAGAATAATGAAGAATCGTTTCTCAAAGGATGTAGGTATAAACGGTTTAACAAAATGACAGATAGTAATATAGTTAAGGGCAAATGAGCATTAACTTGCTAAAATACATACCGAGGGGTGGCTGAAACCCCCTTCATTGGAGTTTGTGTCTCATTAATAGTACATGTCACTCGTTTTGGAACTGCTGCAGTCAATGGTCTTCCATCATATAACTGTAGTCTAACTTTCATTTCCTCTGTTATGAACGAAATAATATTGAGACGACACAAGATTACAAGTTAAATCCTGGAACCTAACAACCATAGATCATGAACTGAAATTGTGATAAAAGAAAAGGGCTACCTATCAACAGTAGAGGTGAACGAAAGAAATCCACAACCATACTTCAAGAAAAGAAGGAAAATTTATAAAAACACTAGGGCTTAATGCTTTGAACAAGTGGAGCACACAGGTAACAGCCTCCAAAGGTGTTTAGGATGCATGCTAAAACTAGTTACAGAAGGTAAATTAAAATTACTTCCAGCGGACCAAGTACATAACCAATGAACAAACCAGTCTTAATTTTATCAACCTTTTAGGTAAGCAGCAGACTTGCCAAATAAGTCCAATGGTACTTGCAGTTGGTCAAATGTCTCGGGCCTAAAAAACAATATAAAAAAATAGAACACATTGATTTTGCAGAAATTTTCCTTCAGTTTAAAAGTAAAATATTTTCTGAAAGTCTTAAAAATGATGGCAAAAACAAATTAAACTCACTCAATCAGAAACGCAGTATTATTTTCTGTGTACAAACATGTGAAAGACCTCTCCTCAACAAATACTCCTGCAACAAATAATAAGGCATTAACCTAACACAGACAAATAATAACCTTAAGTCGCATCTAAATGCCAAGACAAATGCAATACCAGAACCATATTCCAAAAATCCTTAAAATTAAGCCAATTGGGTAAAAAATTCAATAAGTTATGATGCATACTTTCAACAGTTTCTTCAGGGCCGAACCGGAAACTTACTTTGTTTCCATTGTCAACATCACGAAGCTCCATCTATAGTTTTTAGGGAAAAGAAAAAAGAAAATAAGAGATTGACAGTATGAATCTTTAGAAAATAATCAAACAAAAGTTTTATACTGAAAAAGGTACACCAGACATATTTTTCACAATTTTATTAATATATTATACATTGTTCTCTTAATTTTTGTTGAGTTTCGGCAATTTCTTCTAGTTGCTCCTTTCATTATATATGTTTCGTCACTATAACAGGGTAACTATGCATTGTGGAAACAGGTTAAATAAAAAAAGCACCTATATTCTGATAAGCACGGACTGAAAAAAAATCAGATGCCTAAAGAAGCTAACCTGCATCAATGCACCTCCTCTTCCTCGCTGCTTATGCTCTGATTCTACTATCTACAAACAAGTTATATAACAAATGATAAGCAACAGCGTAACCTAAAAACAAATCTTAAAGCAACATCCAAGAAATAACCATTATTATGCTTCTCAACGAAAGATTAGATCCGACATTCAAATCCCCTCTGCCCTTGGAATTCCTCTTATGAAAGAAAACGTAGAAAACAAATCTTTAAGGGCACGGAATGCGAACAAGTACCTGGTAGACTCGTCCTGAGGCATTCGTAGAATAAAAGCAGCATCAGTTAATGTATTAAAAATAAGGTAAAAATAAATAAATTTTGGATTATGACGTTAAAAGCTAACCTGATTTTTCAATTACATTCCCAGGCCTTAGCTGCAGTACGAGTAATCACAGTTCACAAACAAAAACTTTCATATTAACAAAATCAAAAAAAAAATATCCCCCTCTCTTCCGGTTAAAGACCAAAAAAAAAATCTTCCTCTACAAAATGGAAGTCGTAAAGCGAAATTGCATAGAACATGCGAAACCATACTGAAGAAAGCAAAAAACAGATTCAATGAGTGAAGCGTGAAGATGGGGATGGAGATCTAATTGAAGTTCGCGAAAAGGTAACAATGATTTACATGGATGGCATTAACTTTGACGCCGCGATGTTGAGAGGCAGACCACCAGGGAGAGCTGCTAGGCAGAGAGTGGGTGGAAGCATTGGAACTGAAGACGGTGGACAGAGATGGAGACAGTCTCTTAACAAGTTGAACTCCCTTCTTCATCGTAACCTGCTGCTCCAGCTACTTGGCTTCTGGGATTATGCATAAGCAGCAGGTTTCTGATACTATATTTTATTTATTTACCCAGGGTTTTCCACTTTCAACTGCGGGTAAATCACTTTTATTTATAGGGCTTGCTTAATATTTTTACCTGTATCACTCGCTGAAAATTAAGTGGTTTGATTATAAAATCTTAAAATTTAGTGACTTATCTATAATCTGACTAATAATTGAGTGAATTGGTTATTTTTACCCTAACCTTTACAAATGTGTAATGACAAAAACAAATTTCTCAATTCCGCAATTTTCTCCTGGTTCTGGCGCTGCTTCATTTTACTTTTATGGTGACATTGTCCTTCCAAACAACTTTCATGGCCACTTCAATAGTTAGATTTCCACTCTTAAGGTTTGGCAACTGGCTCATCTTCCCGCCCTTTTTCTCCCGCTCTTGTTTGAAGCATAATATGTTGGGTTTTGATTTTCTGATTGGTTACGGTTCTTTTTTTGGTCGGGATTGGGATTTTGATTTGAAAAAAAAAAACCTGTAACAGAGACAAAATGCAATAACGGTTGTATCTGAATCCCGAGACACCGCTACATGTGTGTGAATCTTCTCTATCATATCTATCGCGGCGGATAGCAATTTCGGTGGGTGCTGCTGCCGTTGTTTCAAGGCCACTATACCGGTAATGCACTCCCACTGTTCTCGTGTTTATGTCATTATATTCTTTAAACATAGGTATGATTTTAATTGCCAAAATCTGAAATTGGAGCATGTTGAACAGAGTCCATCTCACAACTATTTGAAAATAAATTGTTTCTCAATGAATAATCTGTTCTAGTGCTGCTCTGTTTCTGTCAAGGTACTCGTTGACTGGATGAATTTGTTTCTCAACGAATAATACTTGACCTTGTTCTCAATTCTAAAGTTTTTAATCTCTAAGGTTGTGTTTGGTTCACGGAATGTAAAATTACTAGTAGGAATGTAAGATTACCAGTAGTAATGTAAGATTACCAGAAAATAGGATTACTGCGAATGTTATATTTTGTGTTTGGTTGGTTTAGCAGGAATGTAAGATTACATTGTTTGGTTAAAGGAATAAAAGATTATTGTAATGTATATTTAATCAAATTATCTATATTATATATTTATTTTTAACAACTTGAAAAATATTTATATATATTTTTTTAAAAAAAATTAAATTCATAAAATTTATATAATTTTTTTACAAAATTGAAAATATAAAAAGGTTTAATAAAATGGTAAAATTTTATTTTAATCCCTGAACTTTATATAAAATTTTAATTATAGACTTTTTTGTAAATGTAAAATAGTTTAACGATAAATTTGTAATTTAATTTTCGTATAATTTTTATTATTCAATGACAGAAGAATGATATTTTTGAAAGAAAAAAAATTAAGGGCATTTTAGTCCAAAATGCTAGTAATCCAACAATACCTAAGGAAAATGAGGTAATGACATTCCTGGTAATATACTCAAAAAAATCCACTATCGGTAATCTTATATTACCGGGAATAGGATTCCTGGGCTAACCAAACGGGAGAATGTGAATTTCATTCCCATGGGAATCCCACATTCCTCATCCAAACGCCCCCTAAGGATACGTTTGGTTCGGGGAATGATCTTTTTCGAAATTGTATTATCATATTTGGTTCACGAAAAATATCATTATCAAATAATAATTTATTATCAATAGTAGTAATTTAGGGTTAAAATAGTGGAAATACCGTTACTCGAAATTTTTATTTAAGGAACAATTCCCACCGCTTTGGACATAAATACCCTTGAAATAATAAATTTTTCATATGAATCATTCCCAAATCTTATTCTTTGTGCTTTACTTAAAATTATAAACCTAATAATAATAATAATATACAAATAATTTAATTTAATAAAATATTAATAAATTTTAGTAGTCAAAATTATTTTATATTTTTAATATTTAATATATTAATTATTTTATAATTTTATGAGGAGAAAATATTATTATTGTAAAAATATAATTATTTAAATTAATATTTAATTTTGAATTATTAAAATATAGATCTTATACATTAAAAATTAATATATTTGTCCACTCGAGATCACAATATTATTTTTCTTATTATATTATGTTTTATATAAATAAACATGATACTTATGAAAATCATTTAAAATTATAAGTTTGATATATTAATTATATGTTAAATGTATAGATAGCATAATAATTAAAATATTTTTATAAATTTTCATTCAAATATTTATAATTTAATATTAAAGTTTTACTTGTTAAAAAATTATATATCACAAGGATAATTTGGTAAAATATACATCCAAGTAATCTTATATTTCTCCAACCAAACATTGTAATCTTACATTCCTGCTAAGCAAACTAAACAATGTAATACAACATTCCCAGAGTAATGTTACATTTCGATAATCTTATTTCCAAAGGTAATCTTACATTCCGTGAACCAAACGCACCCTAACGGTATTGGCTCGTTGGCAGGATTTATAAGCGACGATTGTATTTTGTTTGTGTCTAATACTGACAATCGTTAAAATTCTTGTCACCTGTATGCATCACTAGCTATGTTGCTTGGAGGGCGAAGATTGGATATAGATATTCCTGACACCGACATGCTAGCTCAAAATTTTTTATAAGTTTTTCCACATATTCGAAGGACCATGTCCCATATCCATGCCTGAATATGTGTCTGACATGAGGCTTCAAGGAAATGAAGAATCGGAGTGACATAGGTCACTAGGTTATTAGTGACAATAAGTGATGAAATATAAGTTTGTTATTATTTTCAGTAACAAGCTTATATACTGCTGGAGACCACTTGATCCTTATCTAAAAAACTAGTTTCTTGTAGTATTTGCTTATTTCCTTTTCTTTTGGGCGCAGGGGAAGGATATTTTCTAAGTGTCTGTGCAAATGCATGGATCAGGGAAAGCTTATTGTGATTTCTCGTTCAGGGGGGAAATTTACATTTAGTGATGATGGTTCCTTGTCATATTGTGGTGAAGAAGCTCATGCGATTAATATAACCACTGAAAGCAAATTTGATGAGTTGAAAGCAGAAATGGCAGAGATGTGGAATTATGATCTGGATTCCTTGACCATCAAATACTTTCTTCCACACAACAAAAAAATGCTTATCAGTTATCACAGTTTCTAACTACAAAGACCTGCAACACTTGCTGGATCTTCATGGAAACTCGGAAACTGTGGATATTTATGTCTTAACAAATGAGAATCAAACAAGCGACCAGTTGTCTACGTCCCACAGTAGGTAGTATTCACTTTACTATGCTTAGGTAATGAGGAATTGTAGTGTTTCCTACCCAGAATAAATATGATGCCTTTTGGACTTGTGGTTTTAACTAAATTCATCTTCAAGCTAACATCATTAGGTAACCAGGTCCAACCCTATGGTTGAATAATGTGATTATCTTGTATAACCCTTTTAATCTTATATGGTTTTGGTGGATTCATTGCAGGTCTGGAATGGTGGATGAGCCCGTGACTCCTACTAGTATTTCTCATGCTGCTTCAATTTCTGGAGACACTAAGCAGCTTGATTCGTTGGCTTCTCTTACTAGAGATATGGACAATCCAAACAAATTTTACTCCTGAAGTTCCTAATGCTAATGCACTTCAGAAACTTGTTAAATCATGGGAGAATTGTTTAACTGGTCTGGAGCAATGGTTCAATAATGCTCACGATTTTTGTGTTGCTCTGAATAAGTTATCCACAGCTCATGGATTTGATATACCTTTAAGACTAATAGGTCTTGGTATATAATCACAAAATGCAGAGCTGAAGGTTGCCATTGGACCATTAAAGATGCAAGGTTATCTACCACAAAGTTGTTTCTGATTGAAAAGATATGTGAAACTCATACATGCGGTGCAGGAAAAAGTTCATCTGGGCATCCCAAGGTTTCTAGTAAATTGGTCAAGTTTCTTGTGAAGGAAAGATTACGAGCTCCACCTAATGCTAAACCAAGGGAAATTATTAATGGAATATGGATTCAAAGCAAGTTATGCACATGTGTGGCGCGGACTAGAGTCTACCAAAGAGAAGCCTCAAGTTCCATATGATGAGGGTTACAATCAGTTACCTAGTCTGTTTAAGCAGATTGTCGAGAACAATCCTGGTAGCGTAGCAACTCAGTCATCAGGGAGGACACTTAAGCTTCCATCTTCTAGTTGTTGCATTGCAAGCTTCATTACATGGCTGCCGCCCCCTCCTTTTCCTTGACACTGTGACCATAAAATCAAAAATATCAATCTGAGCTGCTGACTGCTACAGCTTTGGACGGAAATGATAATTGGCATTGGTTTTTGGTTCAGCTGAAATCTGCACTTTCAATAATCCAACCAGTAACGTTTGTAGCAGACAGACAGCTTGGGCTTAAAAAGCCTATTTTGGTGATCTTTAAGAATTCATGGTTATTGTCTCTATCATCTGATAGAGGGATTAAAAGGGGATTTCAGTGGCTTGAATACTGAAGTTCTTCAAGTAATTATCACACATTTCTATGATGCTGCTCATGCAATTACACTTGATGGATTCAGGAAATCTATCGAGAACATCAGAAATATTTCACCAGAGGCTTGTGAGTGGATCTTACAAAGTGGACCTGAACAGTGGTCAAATGTCCTTTTTCAAGGTCATCGATATGGACATTTTTTATCAAAAGATGCAGAGACATTTTATAGTTGGATAACTGAACTTCCGGTTATACCGATTGCCAAGTTGATTGAGACCATTTGCTGTAAGATAATGGAATTGATGAGTACTCAAAAGTCAGATTCATGCCAATGGTTGAAAAAATTAACTCCTGCTGTGGAGTTCAAATTATAACAAAATATTTTGAAAGCTAACATGCTTCAAGTGACATTGTCACATGGTAACACTTTCAAAGTCTTGACAGTTTGAATGAAATATATGCAGCGAACAGTGATCTATGGGATTCTAGCTGCGAGGAATGGTAACTGAAGGGCTTTCCATGTTACCATGCTGTTGCTGTCCTACAGCAATTAGGAAAGAGTTTATATCATTATTGCTCCGATTACTTCACGGTTGATGCTTTCTGGTCGACGTACTCAAACTCTATAAACCCTTTTGCAACAGCAGTTATGGCTGTACAAAAGAAATCATCTACAATTGAAGTACGCCCTCCTGCTCTCCGTCATGTCTCCGTCACTCCTAAGAGGAAAAAGAACAAAAATATATACATGGACCCTTTAAGCGGTTATTGCAATGCAGCAAGTGCCAAAGAGCCGGGCACAATTCGACAAACAAGCCATATATTCTCATAGCTGTATCAAAGTCGCGTTGGATATGTAAGATAGCTTTTGATAAGGCAAGATCAGTTATGTAATTTAGGTGTCTTCTTGGGAGTTATTGATACTAGGGATGAGATGGAGCAGGATAGAGATGGCTAACGTTAACTTTTGTGGAGACTCAAATATCAGGTGAGACATGCAGGAATTGTGCATCTTACTTCTGCATTGCTAATATTTATGTATCATTGTAGTTTTTAATTATAAACCCATTGTTATGAATGTTGTATTCGAGTTGTTTGACTTGTTTCACAATAAATAAATAGTAATAATAAAGTTGGAAGAATGGTTGGATTTTTAATAAAAAAATATATAATTTACAGATCAATATTGTTCATGATTAATAAAAGTTCGAATCTTACCACTGTCACTCTTAGTGAGCAATACGTTACTTCTTATGTAAATCCCAATTAAGTTTAAGTATACCCTAGTCTTGGACTAAAGGAGCCACCCTTGATATAAACTTTATTGTAGCAAAAATAAAATAAAATTACATATGTATGATTTTTTTAGTTTCGCTTAGTAAACTAATAAGTAATAATAGATGGGTTTTGTAAAAAAAAATCTCTAAAACAAGTGGCTAAAAGTTATTAGTTGATACCTATCCTGTAAAAATTGTTCAATAAATAATAGATAGATTCTTTTAATTAATAAATTTACATATATATAAATAATAATATTGGTGTAAATATCATTAACGCCTGTATTTAAAAAAAATAATCCCAATTTCTATTCTTACTCTTTTTTTTTTTGAATGTGGGTGAGAAAAGTCAAAGAAACCAACGAACACCATGCAGTTTCAAAGCAAACCAGCCTCTATATTAACTATACATTCTGCAGTAGCAAGGGGGCTCTGGAACATTTGAATACCTCCTGAATAGCTCCACGCCGGTCTCACCAAGCAATCGGCCGCCTTGTTTCCTTCGTGAGGCACAACTCCGAACTTCAATTCCCAGTCTCTTTCCTGCAAATCATAGATGTGAGGACCAAGCGAAGAAGCAACAATGAACCTGGGATCTCTATCAACCACCGCCAATGTCTCCCTGCTATCAACTTCAACCCACAACTTTCTTATACCTGCGTCCCATGCCATGCGAAGGCCTTCGTAAACGCCCCAAAGTTCAGTATCCAAAACGGAGCAAAGACCAACTTGCTTGACAAACCCGACGATCCATCTTACTTGGTGATCGCGAATAAGGCCGCCACAAGCAGCCCTTCCACAATTTACTTTGTGTGCACCATCCGTGTTGAGTTTAGAATATCCCACTGGTAGGGGCAACCACACCACATTTCGATCAGTCGGAGCAGACACTGGATCAAGCCTCGCCACCCTCTACATATTCACTCTTATAGTCTCCGAGTAGTTAATTTTGTTAGTTTATAATATTAAAAAAATAATTTTTTTATAATCACGAGTATCCAATATAGTAATCAACTAATTTAAATTGAGTTTTGTAGAGGTCCAATATAAGATCAACATTTATAACTCAATTTGTTCCATTCACAAACGTCAATATTCAAACATCTTACTTTACTTAAAGAATTTCGTATTTTATCTCACTAGATCAACTTATTGTTGATAAATTTAATAAGAAATAATCAATTCAACTTATATCTTATTACGATAAAGGTGTTTTTAAATATTATGCTTATTAAAATTATATTGAATATTTTTATTTTTATTATGTTTGTTAAATTAATAAAATAATATTAAATTAAGAAATTAAATAAAGTCTAATAGAAAAGTATATGCAATTTCATATTAATATTTTTAAATTTAGTAGTAAGAGTTAACCCTATTAAAGAAACTTATTATAAAGGTGATTTAATATAAAATATTTTTATTAATAATATTTTTTATATTATCAATAATACAATAATATTTTAAATACTTTATTTTAATAATATTTCTTTTATATTTTTTATCAACCATATTATTAAATAATATTAAAGTATCTTTGCCATGCATGTGCATTAGGCTCGAATAATATGAAACCTCTCCCTTTCCCTTAACATTATTAATAATAAAACAATGAATGGCATTCTCGACCAAGTGGACAAACTATCCTTTATCTTATTGGCATTATTTTTTTAGATATACATTTTGTTGTCATTTTCATTGCCCACAAATTATTTATTATTTTTACTGGTATCCAATTTATTGATCGATTAATCTAGATCAGATATTGAAGATGCGAGGGCGATCATCCCAATCCAGTTTGCTCAGTTCTCAAACGTCAGTGTTCAAACATCTGACATTTCTTAAAGAATCTAATACCTCATCTCACTAGACCAACTAATTTTTGGTTCACCCACAATTTATTTAACATTGTTTATTCAATAATACTACGAATTTCTTTAAAATACCACCATATATTAGTATATATTTATTATAACAAAATAAATAAAAATACAATACGATACGATACGATAAAAATATAAATGCAAAACAATAATTCACGAGTAAATATGGAAATTATGGGGGGGAAAGTAAATAAGGAATATTTATATGTTTCACAATATGAAATAAATAATCAAGCTTACTTAAAAATACTAAATTATTAATGAAATGAAAACAATTATAATAATATTTATGTGTAATAAAATGTAAGGTAAAGTATACAAATGGTCTCCTTATTATAAGACATTTTTTTATTGAACCTTATAACTATTAAAAGTTAATAAAATAATCACTCGACTATTTATTTAACATTGTTTATTCAATAATACTACTAATTTCTTTAAAATACCACCATATATTAGTATATATTTATTATAACAAAATAAATAAAAATACAATACGATACGATACGATAAAAATATAAATGCAAAACAATAATTCACGATTAAATATGGAAATTATGGGGGGAAAAGTAAATAAGGAATTTTTATAAGTTTCACAATATGAAATAAATAATCAAGCTTACTTAAAAATACTAAATTATTAATGAAATGAAAAAATTATAATAATATTTATGTGTAATAAAATGTAAGGTAAAGTATACAAATGTCTCCTTATTATAAGACATTTTTTTATTGAACCTTATAACTATTAAAAGTTAATAAAATGATCACTTGACTATTTATATATTCTAAACTTATCATTTTTTGTTTAAATGGTGATTGTCTAAGCTAGATGTTAATCTGCCGACTGAGATATGATAAAAACATAATTCAATGATGTCTATAGGCACCATTGTTACTCTCAAACACTGATTCGATGACATAATGTAAATACAAACTCAATCCACAAAATACAACTCAAATAGTTGTGGACCAAATTTATCATATCCAAGTCATCAAATTATTGTCCAGCTCAGGTGACCATAAATTTTTAATGAAAAATGACGAGTTTGGAACATATGAATTGTTAAGTGATGATTATGTAATATTTAATAGTTAAGATACTTAAAAAATCAGTTCCCCAAAGTTGGAGCACAATATGAGTACTTTACCCTAAAATGTAAAATATATTTATATTACATAATTTATTTTTAGTTTCTCCAAATAATCCCGCGATTACGGGGTGTGTTTCTTTAGCTTTTTTCTCTTGCCCGCATACATCCATCGACTGGATCGAATCCAAGAAACATCCACTTTTAGGTTTCTGATTTTTCATTTCGAATATGTACGGTACATATAGCTAGGGTTACCGCTGCTGCGGATCTTTTCGTTTTCTTTGTTGAATTCGTCGTTTCCTAGGGTTTTCTTTTGTTTGGTTCAGATATGAGTTCTTCGCAGTTTATTTTTTCGCAAAGATGTTTTGGCATATGGTCGGATTGTCCACTGCGTCTCCTGTGAGTTTTGCGTCTTCATTGATTTT